ACTTAATATATATACTCACTTTTATTTATTTTATTTTCATTAATTTTTCTTCATTTTTTTTTATTATTTTTAATAACATCACTTACAATATCTATTATTTTTCTTTCTATTTTTCATTATCTCTCATTTATCTCAATTTATATAAAAAAAATGAATTATATTTATGATTACTGCAAAAATATCTTGTTCCGGCCAAAGGGTGGACTAGAGTTTTTTCCTAGGTTAAGCCTTAGAGCCAGAGCATTCAAAAGTGTAATCTGTCGTCTTAACTTTAGGGTTTTAGGTTTTATACTTTTTTGTTCATGGGCCACCTGGGCCTTGTGAGCGCGAGGATTTCCATAACGGTTTTCCTTGAGAATATTTGATTATCAAAGATAGGCTTTTCATCCTTGATTCTCGAACTAGTCGACCCACTCGGACTTTGGCCGACCGTACCCTGGTCGAGCTCATCGTGGCCGATCTCATCAAACGATTAGGGTTGATTCGGTAGGGTCAACTTGCTTAGATTTCCCTAGTATATTAAGAAATATTTGTAGGTAAATGTATAACGACGCATCAGCAGTTGAATATGCTAGTGTGAGTTATGGTTATTGTTCTTATGCACCAAAAGATTACGTTGTTGTGTGATATGATAATGGTGTATGTTTGTTTGCTTAGATGTTTAGCTTTCAAAGGTGATAATTGTTGTTGGATGTGAATCTTGTGATGTGCTTGCTTGATTTGCATGATGAAGTTAAGTATATATGTTTTATTCCTATACTTACTTTGATTTTAAAATATAACTTATCCTTATGAGTTTTTCTTGTGATTAAATTTGCAATGATTATGATTGACATAGGAGTAGGGTATGATTAATTGGAGTTGAGATGTGAGAGTTCCTGCTGGGCCATATATTTTTGATAGAGTAGTCTTTGACTACTTTTGATAGTTTGTATAAACATCACTTAGGATTTTTATCTTATCTACTTATCGAATTACTATACATATACTTGTGTAGTTCCTTTAGATGTATTTATATTCATATACATGCTATAGTGCACATTTCCTGATAATGTGAGTATATAATTCTAAGTAAATAGTTGTATTTTCGTTACTAGAAGTAGTTGATACGTAAGCGTGATGATTATGACAAGTTGTTATAACAAACATAAATGTAAAAAATACTTAATATATATACTCACTTTTATTTATTTTATTTTCATTAATTTTTCTTCATTTTTTTTTATTATTTTTAATAACATCACTTACAATATCTATTATTTTTCTTTCTATTTTTCATTATCTCTCATTTATCTCAATTTATATAAAAAAAATGAATTATATTTATGATTACTGCAAAAATATCTTGTTCCGGCCAAAGGGTGGACTAGAGTTTTTTCCTAGGTTAAGCCTTAGAGCCAGAGCATTCAAAAGTGTAATCTGTCGTCTTAACTTTAGGGTTTTAGGTTTTATACTTTTTTGTTCATGGGCCACCTGGGCCTTGTGAGCGCGAGGATTTCCATAACGGTTTTCCTTGAGAATATTTGATTATCAAAGATAGGCTTTTCATCCTTGATTCTCGAACTAGTCGACCCACTCGGACTTTGGCCGACCGTACCCTGGTCGAGCTCATCGTGGCCGATCTCATCATGGCCGAGCACACCCTGGCCGATCTTACCATGGTCGAGGACAGCCTGGCCAATCTCACCATGGCCGAGCACAGCCTGGCCGATCTCACCATGGTCGAGCACAGCCTGACCGATCTCACCATGACCGAGCACACCCTGGCCGAGCTCGCCCAAGCCGAGCTCGTCCAGGGGGTGGGTGAGATCGCGGTCTGACTGATCTTACCCATGTGAGAGGTTAGATCGCCTGCCGACCGAGAAGACCCATATTTAAGATTCATCGGATCGAAACCTGTAAAGGGTATCAGATCGAGATTCGACTGGGACGGTACACTTACCTTCTAGTCCTAAGCCTATAAGGCGCAAGGACTAAACTGTCTCTGAGATCAAGTCCATATCAGATTCTGACCGAACTCTCCCAAGATGTGGGGCGAGATCGGAATCCTACCGACCTTACGGTACATATCTTAACAAATATAATTGAGATTTGGTGTCATTAAGTGCTACTCTCTGTATTTCAATAATCAAAGCAATTTTAATATTTTAAAAATATCTCAAAATGAACTACATTCTTATTTTTTTTATGTAATATTTTATATACATTTTAATTTATTATTTTTTAATAAAATTTTCAATTAGTATACCTGAAAGTAATATATTAATTAAAATGTGATTATTTTAATAAAATTATATTAAAAATGATGTATTTATTGTTATTATTTTTAATATATGTGTGACAAGTTTAACTTGTTATTGTAAGACAGATGGAGTAATATTAAATTTATTAATGTGAAAATTTGTTCCTTTTTCTAAAAAGAAAAGTTGGTATTTTGGGGTTGAAGTGTGAGGGAGTAAGAAAGAGCCCACGGTGACAGAAACAAAAGACACTGCCCGTACATGAGATGTGAGACGAGACAACGTTTGTTTGTTTACGGAAAATGAATGGCCAGGATGTGGTAGAATAGTTCTAAGTTCCCACTTTTCTGAGTTAAATTCCTTAGCACCATTTATCAAAAAATTCCTTAGCACCAATTTTTTTTTTAAAAGTTCTGAGTTAAATACTGTTACTGTACCGATGATGATTAACAAGCAGTCTGTTTTACTCTGCTCCTGTGTATCGTCTATGTACCTGTAATTATCTTACAGGTGTTTTTCATTTTAAAACAAATTTTAAAATAAATTAGTTCAACTTTTTTTTTTTTGAAAAAACCACTAAATTAAATTTGAACTAACAAAGAAAAGAGTTTAAATAATTTATACGAAGTTGTAAATTCAAATTTTATTATGAATCACCCTCATGATAAAAATTATTCTATTATTAAATAACTTTAATTTAACCGTATTTAATTCTGAATGAGTTGGTTTAAGGGCTGCGCCTGAGATGAGTACAGTAAAAGGCTACAAATCTTGAAGAAGTTGACTGTTAGAATAGCTTGGAAGGCTAGTCTCGCAATAATACACGCCTACATGAAAGATTTATTTTATTTTTTATTTTTTTTACAAGAGAAAGAATTTTAGTTGAAGCTAAAAACATATAAGGAACACCATTATTTGTTTTTTATTCTATCGTTATAATTACTTTTTTTTTCTTTTCGAAAACATCTTTAATTTTAAAAATCAAAGATAAGAGTCTATTAGTTTTCTACTTAAAAAATACAAAATAAAGTAAAAGTGATATATTATAAATTATTATATTATAAAAAATTATATAACAAGATAAACTTGAACCATATGTGTTTTAAAAAATAGTTTTAGCAAAATGAATATTTTTGGAATAGAAATTTACTACATAAGTTACAATATTTTACTTCTACCCCAAAAAGTACTTTTGCACCCAAATAAAATGCAAAATGCCAAAACTTTTACCAAATAAAATGCATGATTTTCAACCTCATGTCGCAAATCCGTAGCACCAAGTTTTTATCCAATGCGTACGAATTATTTTTATTTTGATTTTTATTTTAATTTCGTAAATATAAAGTACATATAAAATCATCAAGATTGAATAATGATAATTATATATATATATATA